ATTTCAGATTGGGAGTAAATTCGACCACAGCCCACACAATGAATTTTTTCGCACACACTAAGACAGATGTATCTTGCTAGTCTTTCGGACATTTTCTCTGTTTCTCAAGCCATGCTGAGCCATTGAGCTAACGATTTCATTATTTTACACTTTAGGGCTTTCTATAACTAACAATGTGTCTGTAATGTTATTATTTTGCTACTTTAATGCCGCTTTATTTTTTACTCATTTATACACTCATTTGTATTCAGGCGGAGGCAATGAAGCAGCGCGCTAATTCTGCTGAGAAAACGCTGCATGGCCTGGAGGAGCGTTACTCAGAGGTTACGGTTAATTACAAGAGGATGTGTACTCGTAAGCATTTTGCCCATTCTGAAGTGGCTCAGGTCGTGACTGCTCTAAACCGAGAATGGACACGAGTGTCCCAGGTATGAAATCGAGCTTTATCAATATGTCATTTGTGAGATTATTTTTCCGCTAACAAGACTTAGACAAGTATTATTGACCCTACTTATACCGAAAGTAAGCATTATTGGCCCTTTATTGATATAGTAAAGATCCTCTATGTGAATTAGCAGATAAGGGTAATAAACTTCTCCAATTAAATGTTGATTCTTATCACTTTCCTTGTCTGATTCAGCTGATTGCAGACCACCAAAATTTGATATCCAAGCAGCTTTCTTTGCTAAAGTGGAGTGAAGAAGCCGGCGATTTGGACACGTGGATTGCGGAGCGTAGAGCTTATCTAAAAGACTTACTCACTACTGGACAGCAGCATGAGATAGCTGCAATTGCAGCTACTGGGCAACTGCAACAGCAGCTTAAAACGAGACCGGAACAAGGCGCTGCTGACCTTGTCCGAATGCAATTGCATTTGCTTCAACGCCAAGAAGCTTTTGAGGTTAGTTTAATTTATGAGTTTTTGTGGGATTTGTCTACATTTTCTGATCCCAGTGATTTGATTTGCTTTAAGATAATCAGAGCTTTGTCGCTTTTATGGTGTTTCTAGCGAACTATCAAGCTAAGGAAGTAGAGTGGCACCGGTTTTTCTATTGAGATAACTATTCGTATGC